AGTATTAAATTCTTAACCGCCAGATATTATATCACATTAATCTCATTATAACGATTGTTAGCCGTCTATCGAGCGTTTCGCTTTAGATACAATTGCTCGTATCCCAACAAGACGTGCAGAACTATCAGCAAGTGAACCGAGACCTGCTCCTGCTGAAAAATCTTACGGAGAAAAGTGAGTTGTGGGTTTACAGCCAAAGAAATCGCAATTCATCGCTGTTGAATGGAGTGGATCACGATAAAGGGTTTGCCAGCAGCATCTTTCGTGCTCAATAACTATACTTGCCACGCATTTCTGTTAGGAGTGACGAAGCGGATAGCGTATTGCCAAAAAAGCGCTCCCTCATTCGATTGCAGAGCAGCGATAGCTTGGAGGCGAAGGAAGAAGATCGTAAAGTTCTTATGAACTTGTTCAGGCAGCTTAACCACGATTATCCGTTGAGCAGTGAACACTGCTACCAGCTGCTTCAAGACGTAAGTATAGACAGAAGTTTGCTGGCATGCAGATTCATGTAGGCGAAAGAGGGGCTGCTGGTGAAGCGGTAATCTTCGGAGTGATAACATAAACATCGTTCTGCACTGGATGCAGGAGGCAGAAAAGGAGTAGATAATTTCGTTGGAGCCCGACCTTTGAGATATTTACAATTATTCATTTGTTTATACGGCAGCGGGCTTTGCTCTGGCCAGCCAGCCGTCGAGCGGCACTCACTTCATCAAAGACAGGAGTGTGTTTTTCCCATTCGTATTGCCTCATTATTCCATTTGAGCAGTGGGTTACTCGTCTGCCATTCACTTTTCAGGCTGCTTTCTGCGTCTGCTCATTACTGTTTCAGGGTGTCTTAGGCTTTGGCAATGTGACTGTCGTTTGCTTAATGAGCACGCAGGGCAGCGTTACTTGATTAGCGTCTTATTTCTGGTCTGGCGTTGGTTCCTGGAATTTTAAGCTGTCCGTCTAAACAGGGTTATTCTTTTGCCTTTGCCTTCTGCTATCTGTGCGCAGTGTGTTTTGTTCTCATTCTGTGAATCTTATATTACTTTTATCTGCAGCTGTTTTCCAACCAGCGTGATACTGATGTTGAAGCCAGCTGGCTGATCGACCAGTCGCACCGCCTCAATTACATGATAGTCGAGCAGGTAATTGCGCTGACCAGGCAGTGGTTCGAGTTCGATTCAGTATAATATGCTTTGCTTTGGTGAACTTTCTTACTACCGTACTTTTCTTGGGTTCTTTGGTATTCGTTGTTACTACGACAGGTAGCCGTCCACTGCGTCCTGTTTATGCTGCGTTGGGCTTTTGCATTTTTCTGCATGACCTTTACATGCAGCTTTGCTCTAGCAAGCTTTTTTTGTGGATTCGTTTTCATGGGCTTTGTGCTTTTGGGCCTGCTACTTAATTTACTACCTCGGTATGGTGCTTACAACCTGGAATTTTGCCTGAAAATTCTGACATTGTAATGAAAATATACCTCACTGATAGTTTGCCTACGTTTCCTAACACTTGCGCCGTTACAGCGCTGAACATACCTCGTATGGATACGCATTAATTGCACAGAGCTATACTCTTAAACTCCAAGAAATGTCCGTTGTACAGTAAGCCGGACTTAAATTTTTTAAAGTTTCTATTCAATTAATCTAATTAGTTACCGTAGGAAGTTTAAGACTTCTTTTGTTAATCATCGCTACTAACTTCTCAATTCCATAGTAATAAAATACTGTTATCGTTTCCTTTACTGTAAGGACTGTTTT